GGCGAGATGTAGAACAGGGACACTTCTCAAAGAGACATTCATACAGACAACAGACACATAAAAAAATAGTCATCATCACTGAAGAGAAATGCAAATCGAAACCACAATGAAATGCGTCTCACACCAGTTAAATGGCAATCATTAAAAAAATGTTATAAACAACAGGTGCTGGAAGATGTGGAGGAAATAGGAACACTTTTACACTGTTGGTAGGACTGTAAACTAGTTCAGCCATTGTGGAAAACAGTGTGGCGATTCCTCAAGGATCTAGAACTGGGCGCCATTTGGCCAATATCCATTGCAAGTATATACCCAGGGAGTTATAAATCAGCACACTCTCTAAAGACCATGCACCGTATAACATGCAGCACTATTCACAATAGCAAAGACTTGGGAATCAACCCAAATCATGGTGACAGACTGGATTAAGAAAATGGCACATATACACCATGGAATACTATGCAGCCATAAAAAAGGATGGTTCATGTCCTTTGTAGGGACATGGATACAGCTGGGAAACCATCATTCTCAGCAAACTATCGCAAGAACAGAAAACCAAATACAGCATGTTCTCACTCACTTGGTGGGAACTGAACAATGAGATCACTTGGACACCCAGGAAGGAAATATCACACACAGGGCCTATTGTGGGGAGGAGGAGGGATGCATTAGAGTATACCTAATGTAGTGATGAGTTAATGGGTGCAGCACACCAACATGGCACATGTATATATAACAAACCTGCACGTTGTACACATGCCTAGAACTTAAAGTATATTCAAAAAGAATATATGGCACATATATGCCATGGAGACACTATTTAGCCATAAAGAATGGTTCTGTACTTTTGCAGGGACCTGGATGAAGCTTAGAACCATCAGCCTCAGCAAACTAACACAGAAACAGAAAACCAAACCTGCATGTTCACTCATAATTTAGAGTTGAAGGTAAAGACACATAGACCTGAGAGGCGGCTGAACATCACACTGGGGCCTTCACGGAGTAGAGGGGCGAACAGGGGAGGGAAGCATTAGAACAAATACCTAATATATATGGGGTTTTAAGAAGCCTAGATGATGGGTTGATAGGTGCAGCAAACCAATGCGGCACATTTATACCTATATGAAACCTGCATATTTCTGCACATGTATCAAGAATCTAAAGTAAAATGATAAAAAGAAGAGTTAGATCTAAAACCAGTACAAAATGCCCAAAAGTAGTCAGAAAGACAATGTGGCCTTTTCTCGAAAATATCTCCAATATCACAGTACCAATAGCCCTAACTATGTCAGCTCTAAGCACATATAACTACTACCACTTATTAAAAGGTGGGTAAAAAACAACGAACAAGAAAAGCATTGGAGCAGTAGGTTTGTGTTTTCTGAACCTCAGATGAGAACATAGAAGACAATTAACTGTTCTATTGTACTTGGGATTCTACCACTGGTGAGGTTCTACACCTCAGCTCAAGGTAATAGTCTTTGAAACTCTCAGGGCTATTTTCTATCTGGCTACTACAATTTTCTAGACAGAGAGCACATGTTATCTTCTGCCTGAGGACTAAATGGAATCCTGCTACAGTGGCTGTAAATTGCATATCCTAATTTAAGTCTCCTCTCTGGCTGAAACGGCCTGAGCTGTAATTTGACCAGAGAAGACTAAGACAGCTACAGTACAGAAGAAATGCAAGATGACCACACCCAGGGACCCAATCTTATTTCTTTGTTACGATGCACAGAGCCTTAGGCTACTGCTAAATAATAGATTTAAGAACTATTGAAATGCAGCACCACTTCTCTACTCCCTGAAGCAATAGGAAATCATGGCTCACTGAAGCGATGGAGTCAAAATCCGAGTTTCCCCAAAGCCATAACATTAAACCACATCCACTAAATAAGGTAAAAATTGTCTTGGCCCCATGTCCCCTTCTTAAAAACTGTGAGGCTACATATCTAAAGGCCATCACAGTACATGACCTCCTAATTAAATGTATAAATGCATAGCGACTTGGAAGAAAAACACACTTATTCAGTTATAGAGCCAGCATGTATATACACTTTACATCCACACGCCACTTATTTGATACGTTTTGCTAAATGCTTATGACTCTTCCTCTGTCTACAGTTACATTAGCATATCTGTCTGCAGAAAAAAAAATCAGAAGTCATTGTACAATTTCCTAAGAGTGAGGAAAGCGAAGCAACTGAGAATGAAAAGACTGCTGGCACGACAAGATGAGCAAATAGCTTCTAACAGCCCCACAAACTACAGACACACACACACAAGCATCTGCTTAGAGAAGTTCTAAAGCCCAACTAAATCTCTATAGTGGTAAAAGTGACCCCAGATATTTGGTAGAAAAGGAGAAAGCATGAAAGAAAAAAAAATGTAAAGGAAAACATTTTGAGTTACATGATGAAAACAAGATCATTTACATATTGTCCAAGTTGTCATTTATGTCTAAGCAGTATTTTTAGAATTTTAGTACAAATTGCCTAAAATAATGTTTAATTCACAAAGACAGTTAGAAATAAGGAAGCCCCGACCCACATAATGAAACTGATAAGAGACTACAAAAAATTAGAAGAGCAGTGCAAAGGATAAATCCATAGTAGATGCTTTTCTTTGGGGATGACAGTACTCTCAGTGGCCTGCAAATTGTCACCACAAACCACTTTTTACAGGGTGGAGTGATGGTGACAAGCCTGAGTGAACATTAACCATACAGTCCCCAGCCTTCCTTCGGCCTAATGGAGAAGACAGAGAGAAAGCTGGACAAAGGGGCTCCCACCGCATGCCTGAGTCCATTCAGCCTCAGTAAGTATAACCAGACAGCATTCACCACTGTCATCCATGAACTCAAGGACCACTGGCACAGACGAGAGACTAGGGTGTTGCCTGCACTCCTAGGCAGAGTAAATTTTCATATATTGCCAGTTGCCCAGAACACCTAAGACTGGAAGTACCTGGCCATAGGCAGTGGCTCACACTTTCAATCTCAGCACTGTAGAGGTGAAGGTGGGAGGATCACTTGAAGACAGGAGTTCAAGACCAGCCTCGGCAGTATAAGCAAGACTCTGTCTCTACAAAAATTTAAAAACCAGCTGGGCATGGTGGCACACATCTGTAGTCCCAGCTACTCCAGGAGAACTGAGGTGGGAGATCACTTGAGCCCAGGGAGCTCAAGGCTGCGGTAAAACAAGAGATCGCACCACATTTCCAGCCTATGGGCAACAAACCAAGACTGTCTTTATTTAAAAAAAAAAAAAAAAGAGGGGAAAAAAAAGTATAATGTATGAAATTACAAATTTCCTTTCTGCCAAATCTCAGCTCCGCATGTCTTTATGAACTAAGTAAATGAGTTCAGACAACTGAAGCGTCTTCACTGGCTTATCACCCTGGGGACATACCAAGGACACACGGACAAATGTTTCCCTTCATCCTTCCTCTGAGTTTCCAGTCTAAGGTAGAGGCAAGTAGAAAAATCTTTTTGTTATTATTACTACTTAAATTAAAACTGAAGTCTCGGCTGGGTATGGCAGCTCATCCGATAATCTCAGCACCTTGGGAGGCCAAGGCAGATGGATTATCTGAGGTCTGAAGTTCATAGACCTTTGACCAACATGGAGAAACCCCATCTCTACTAAAAATACAAATTGACCAGGCATGGTGGCTCATGCCTGTAATCCCCACCTACTTGGGAGGCTGAGGAAGGAGAATCGCTTGAACCGGGAGGCGGAGGTTGCCGCAAGGCCAAGATTGCGTCATTGCACTCCAGCCTGGGCAACAAGAGTGAAACTCCATCTCAAAAAAAAAACCAAAACCAAAGTCTCATATTTTTAAAAGTGATCTGAAACTCTCATAAAAGTATCAGGTACCAAATGGGTAATCTGTAACAAGAATAGAAATATAATATCATTTTTTAGTACCAGGTCTATGTGCCCTGGGGCTTTCACTACTAACACTATTGTAGTCAATTGTAACATAGTTACAGGGGCATCTTAGAGGTAGACATTTTACCATCCCCATTTTTACAGATGTAGACCTTTGACCCAGAGAGGTCATGAGACAAGAACGTGGTGGAATTGTGATCTGAATGCAGAAAGGTCAAACCAAAGTCTGTATGCATCCCGTATTTGTTTGGGAAAATACATTTTTTCCTGATTTCTATACTTTTAAATTCATTTCTAAATAAAATTCATACTTTTAGGACTAGTTTTCAAAACCAGCAAAAACAATCATTCTTGACTCAAAATTCATACTTTTAGGGACTGGTTTTTCAAAACTTCCTTAAAACAAGTTAGGCTTAATGAATTTGTTCAGAAAATTCTTTGAGAGCTCCTTCTGAGCTCAGGCCTGCCTCCATTTTTCTTTCTCTATTCATTTCCCTAGACACATCAGGTCTCATAAGGTGAGTCTTCCCTGGGTCTCTTACTTTTCCAGGTTCTTGATCTGATTGTTAAGATATCCTGACAGTTTCTATGGGAATCCAGACACATCTCTCTTCTGGATCTATTTCCTCTTCCCCTACATAGTCCCTTCCTGTACCATGCAACTGAGACCCTTCTCTGCCAGGACAATAAGCCCCACCACACCACTCACATATCAGAGAGGGCTTCCACCTGCCCACACTCTACAACAGTAATCTACGAAAACGTCTTCATCTGATCCTGTTAAGTAAGCACCTTGGAACATATTGAAGCAGACAAATCACTTGGCTACCTAAAGTTCAACATCATTTCAAAGTGCCACCGAATCAAAATGACTTTAGTCCCTGAACAAACAAAATACGATCATCACGAAAAGATATGCACAACACATTCATAGGAGCACTATTAGTAATACGCCCAAGCAAGAGACTACGTAAATGTCCAGCAACTGTAAAATAGGTATACAACTGAACAGTATTAGAGCAAAGACAATGCAAAAAAAGTATTGCATACAATATTGTAGATTTCACAAATATAATAAGCAAAACAAGGTAGACACAAAAGAATATTCACTATATGATTCTATTCATAAAAACAAACTAAACAAAGGCATCACAAGGCAGGATATTGGTTGCTCCTGGAGCATGAGTTGGGGAGGGCTCTGGGGTGCTGGTAATTTTCTATTAATCAAGGTGCTGATTGCAGAAGTGTGTCCACTTTGTAACAACCATTCCATCAAGCTATCCACTTAGCGACGTATTCACTTTCCTCCATGCATAAGGTCCCTCAGCAAAGAGCTGACTGAGACGGACCCTTGAGAGCATCTGGTCCATGCTCTTTGGTTGGCATAAGACCAACTGTTTCCCATGGATGTTAGGTAGCTCATGGACACAGAGGAAATTCATGAAAGGACTGGAACTGGACATCAGATCTCTTAGCTCCCCACACAGGTACCAAAGCTGTGTAACAGGATGTTCCTCTAACTTCCTTGCTTTCTGTGACTCCAGCCAAGGTTTAGAAGGATGAGGAACACATTACTCTTATGAACGCAATCCAGGAGTTTCCAATCTTTTATTGACATCCATGCCAGGAAGAGCATCTAAACACGCTTTAGGATATGGCAAATTAGAGAAAGTCAGACAGTTCACATTCACTGGCTAGGTGACCATCAGCACGCTCCTTACCTCTCTTGTATTCTCATCCAGATCACTGAAGTGTTAACTCCTACCCTGAAAGGGTGCCATGAGGATAAGGTAATAAGTAGTGTCAGGGCCATGCCTGGCACATGGCAAGCATTCAGAAACACTATTTGTAAAATGAATATGGAATCGAATTAATCAAATGCTTGTCACTTGGTAGAAGCTCAATAAATAGTAGTTATTATTACTGAGAAAGAGAAATAGGGAGAAAGTGGGTAAACATGGTTGTGAGAAACCAACACCTCATATTCTAAGCCTACTGGGTCATTAATAGGTCAAACAGCAATTCTCACTGGTGTAGATAAGGTGGTGAAATGGTCTGTGAGGTGGAGAGTGCTGAAGGACTCGAGAAGAGGGCTATGCTTTTTATTTTATGTGCTACAAGGTGTGTGTTTTCCTTCTCAGTGCCAAATGAAGATTTGCTCATCGCCTGCCACACCACGTCTAAATCCTACAGCCACCTGTTATTCATGCTACTCTTAGAATTTACAGGTTTTAAAAAGGGGAGTGGATACAAACACTCCTAGACTTAATTAGTAGACTCACTAGAGTCAAGTAATCCTACTTCTGGAAAAAAATTCACATACTCTAGGGGAAATTGCAGGCTTTAGAGAGGTCTGAAATGAACCATGACCAGAAGTTACTTCACTTACCTTTTTAAAAAGCAGGTTTAATACTGATTTTTTTTTTTTTCAGTTCTTCAAATCTTGGATGTATATAGCAAGCTAATCCACACAAGTTCTTTGATACTGAAAAGAAACAAATACAAAAACAAGTTAAAACTGATTTCAAATTATAGTACACCAGAAAAAATAAAAGCGGCAAACGGCTAATTATTATATAAACAAAGAACATCAAACTAGATAACACGAGTGTAATTGAAAACAACAAAACCTGTGTTAAGGACTTCCTTCCATCCATCCTTTCTCTCTTATCCTCCTTCTTTCATTCTTCCCCATCCAGCACTCCACCCTTCTCTACCTTCCTTCCTCAGTTAACTGGACAACCTTAAATATTTCCTGATGACTGATTTTTTCTGCTGAAACCAAGTAGCACATGGTATGTACTCTATGAATGTTTGTTGAGTAAATGAATGAACCATGTTTTGCAATATTTTGTTGTTAAGATTTAAAAAATAAGAAATGCCCATAATTTATTATTTTGTTGTCCAACAGGAACAAGTTATAGATAATATGTAAATACATATACTGTTTCTGACTTGAGTTTCTGATTCTCTTATCTCTTTTAAATAACTCATACTTAGGGGGAAATCCCCGTTAGTATATATAGGCACATACATCTTCACCATGATACAATAATAAAATATATTTTGGTACTAAAAGAATATTTAAAAGAGTAAAATTTCCTTTTGAGATGCCCTCTCTTCAAATACCTCAGAACTACCTGCATCCAAAGGAGAAAGCAAGAAGTCTCCCAGTTAAATACAAGAGCTATTGCCACACATGTTTTACAAATGCATACAGAGTCAGGGCCAGTCCTAGACAAAATTATGACATATGGATGTGGCTGTTTCCTTTCTTCTATCTTTCCTTTTGAGGATTCATTAACCCCAGATGTTTAATCAAGCAGGGAAGCAAAAGGAACAGCTCCAAGGCTGCAATAACTTAATGGATATCCTTCATGAGGACATTTTTATTAAAAAAGAAAAAAAGCTTCAGAAAAGGCAGGTGCTTAACAGTGAAATAAAATGCATTACTGACTATGGAATTTCAGGAATGAATGAGGTTGTGGATTTTCATCATGGAATTTCTCAACACCCCATCAAATCACATCAGGTAAGTATCTGTCCGTTCTGCTTTCTCCTACAGCTGGCTTCATATATGGCCCATATATACACACTAATCCCAGCAAATTTTAAGTAATTTATGATATATACGTAGGCAAGCTCAAGTTTAAGACTAGGCTGCGCTCTGAAAGTAAACAGTCATATTAATGAGCAGTTTTCAAAGTGAGCTCCTAGGAATCCCACACTCATGTGCTTCTGAGAGCAGAGGCAGAAGTGAGTGGATGTGCAGCCTTGTGCGGTGCGATTTCACTTTCATGTTTCATACTTAGACCCAAGATTTAGTTGGGGAAGTGGTTCCTCCAGCTGCTTATGAAAGAGCTGAAACAATCAATGGAACCAAGTAACAATTAGATTAAAAGCGAGTGCAGAAAATCCCAGTCAGTCCACAACACAGCTGATCTAACACCAAAATCCAACCACCACCTGTCATAGGGTAAAATACAAGTCCTAGCCTGAGTCCCAGGGCAGAGGTCAGCCTGGGTCTGAGCAGACAGGACCTGGGCCTTCTCTTCTTCCCTACTCAGCCCCCTCATCTCCTGCCCTGGAACATCATGAGCAGAAGGAAGGGAACCTACACTTCCATGAGGACTGATCAACAGTAAGAGGGCAAGATTAGGGTGCAAGGGGCCTGCGGATGTTCACAGGATGGTGAAGCAAGACATGGTGGGTTTCTGTAAGTCAGTCATTTCCCAGGCCCTGCCCTGATCCCCACCAGCCTTTTTGCTGGGAATTCCATGTGCAAGGTTTACATGCTTCACCTGGATCAAGGCTCTTGGCTAGGAGTGAGAAAGGAGAAAATTAACAGAACAGTCTAAAAAGAAGAAAAATATACCTATGTTCTATGAAATCCAATTCAAAACAATATGTAAAATGAAAAAAGGGGGGAATATGGGAGGAGCATTATGAGAAAATAAGCATTGCCTGAATGTGCTCCAGAGAAATTCACATTGACTAAGAAGCACTGAGTATATTCAATCCCTCCCTCAGCACAGAGCTCTAATTATTTGGCCCAACCAGGACTGAATACAAAAAAAATTTATAAACATGAACCATTATATTTTTTGAGTTTTCATCATACTAAATAGTAAGTATAAGTAAAAGTAGCTGTACTTGATGGCCCACTAGGAACAAACAAAAAACTACTGTTGGAATACAACCTTGGCAGGCTGAGGTGAGAGAATCACCTGAGCCTAGAGTTTGAGTCCAGCCCAGGCAACATAGCAAGAGCATGCTTTGAAAGAAGAAAAGACAAAAAGAAAAGAAAAGAAAAGAAAAGAAAAGAAAAGAAAAGAAAGAGGGAAGGAAGGAAGGAAGGGAAGGAGGGAGGGAGGGAGGGAAGGAAGGAAGGAAGGGAGGGAGGGAGGAAGGAAGGAAGGAAGGGAGGGAGGGAGGGAAAAGAAAAGGGAGGGAGGGAGAGAAGAAAAAGAAGAAGGAAGAAGTAGAAGGAGGAAGAAGACGGAAGAATAAGAGGAAGAGGAAGATGATCAGGAAGAAGCAGCAGCAGCAGAAGGAGGAGGAGGAAGAAGGACGAAGAAGAAAAAGAAGGAAGAAGAAGAAAGAAGAAGGAGGAGAAAGAGGAAGAAGAAAGAAGAATAAGAAGAGAAAGAGGAAGAAGATGAAGGAGGAGGAGGAAGGAAGAAGAAAAAGAAGAAAGAACAAGAGGAAGAAGGAAGAAGAAGAGGAGAAGGAGGAAGATGAATAAGTAGGAGGAGGAAGAGGAAGAAGAAGAGGAGAAGAAAGAAGGAGGAGGAGGAAGAAGAAGAAGAGGAAGAAGGAGGAGGAGGAGAAGAAGTAAGAAGAAGAAGGAGAAAGAAGAAGAGAGAAAGAGAAAGAAGAAAGAAGAAGGAGAAAGGAGAAAGAAGGAGAATGAGAAGAGGAAGAGGAGGAGGATAAAGAAGAAGGAGGAGGAGGAGAAGGGAAAGAAGATTTACAAGCTTACGTTTATTTTGGACTTCAATCTTTGTCTTAAAAACAGTTTCTGAGATAACCAGTTTCACGCAAAAGGTTTACTGGAGAGTGATCTGGGGAGAGACACCTGTAAGGAAGAAAACAAGGGAGGATTAGGCAGATGGAGAAGTGGGAGGAGTGGTTGTAACTGAGGCCCAGCTGATCCTCTAGGTTGCTCCGGAGCTAGAGTGGTTCTTTAAAGTTATCCCAATTTGCGTAAAGGAGCCAGGAAATTTTTTTTTTTTTTTTTTTTTTTTTTTTTTTTTTTTTTTTTTCTGATCCTCTAGGTTGCTCTGGAGCCAGAGTGTGGTTCTTAAAGTTATCCCAATTTCTGGGTAAAGAAGCCAGGAATTTTTTTTTTTTTTTTTTTTTTTTTTTTTTTTTTTTTTTGAGACGGAATCTCGCTCTGTTGCCCAGGCTGGAGTGCAGTAGCGGGATCTCAGCTCACTGCAAGTTCCGCCTCCCGGATTCACACCATTCTCCTGCCTCAGCCTTCCGAGTAGCTGGGACTACAGGAGCCCGCCACCACACCCGGCTAATTTTTTTTTGTATTTTTAGGAGAGACGGGAGTTTCACTGTGTTAGCCAGGATGGTCTCAATCTCCTCACCTCGTAATCTGCCCGCCTTGGTCTCCCAAAGAGCTGGGATTACAGGCATGACCCACAGCCCCAGCTGGGGTCAGGATTTTTTTATCCTTGCATCATCCACACCTGGGAGGCATTGTAATCTTGGATCAAGGTGGTGCCCTGCAGCCAAGAGCAATTTCAAATGAAGGATGCACCTATGAGCCAGCACTTCCAGCTGCTTAGGAATGAGTACATCATCCCTGAAGATAAGATCAAGATGGAGACCATAATACCTACCTTCTCCTTACAGACACATTTGTATTGGGACACATTCTCTTTTTCATTCTTCTACTCATTGTTCTGTATCAGGGTAGTTTACAGAGCACCTTATTACAGCCGTCCCAGTCTCTTTACATATCTCCCCTACCTCCTTTTCTTTGGGATTATTCACATTTATACAGTCAGATATCATTTTATAATTTCTTCCCTGTTACATATGCTGTATTTGTCTGTTCTCACACTACTAATAAAGGCATACCCGAGGATGGGTAGTTCATAAAGGAAAGAGGTTTAATGGACTCACAGTTCCACATGGCTGAGGAGGCTTCACGATCATGGTGGAAGGCAAATGAGAAGCAAAGGCACGTTTTACATGGCAGCAGGCAAGAGAGAATGAGAGAGCCAAGCAAAGGGGGAAACCCCTTATAAAGCCATCAGATCTCATGAGACTTATTCACTGTCACGAGAAGAGTGTGGGGGAAACCACTCCCATGATTCAATTATCTCCCACCCGGTCCTTCCCACAACATATGGGAATCACGCAAGCTACAATTCAAGATGAGATTTGGGTGAGACACAGCCAAACCATATCATATAGTGTTTTTCTGAATCTTTATAAATCTGCTTTCTTAAACCTATACATTCTGTTAGAATGCTATTATTTCATAGTAACTTTCTCCCATATAACCAATCTTTTCTTTCTTGTTGGTTAGAAAAAAAATTTTTGAATATTATTTGCCATTTTGGTTTTATCTACTTTCTAAGAATGTTTTAGTTAGAGTTATTGGTTGTAAACAACAGAAAATAAATCTGGCTCAGTTAAGGAGAAAAATAATTTTGGGAAGGGTTAAAGGTTGCACAATAAGCAAGAAAACTTACCAAACTTGGGCAGGAAGCTAGACAGACAAAGCACAGCCAAGGTCCTGCCCAAAGAGCCATTGGTGTAGGATGTTCTGCTGACAATGATCCTGTGGGAGAGACAGCTGTGCTGCTGATGTCTGCAGCCTCTGGATGCTAACTCTCACGCCTCTGAACTTACAATGTCTCTGTAGATAAAGTAACTGTACTCATGTTACAGTCCATGCTCTAGCTACCAGAATTAAGGAGAAAGGCTGGGCCAGGCAGGGGGGCTCATGCCTGTAATCTCAGCACTTTGGGAGGCCAAGGCAGGTGGACTGCATGAGATCAGGAGTTCAAGACCAGCCTGATCAACATGGTGAAACCTCATCTCTATAAAAATACAAAGATTTGCCAGGCGTGGTGTCAGTTGCCTATAATTCCAGTTACTCAGGAGGCTGAGGCAGGATAATGGCTTGAAGCCAGGAGGCGGAGGCTGCAGTGAGCCAAGATCATGCCACTGTACTCTGGAGGACAGAAGACTCTGTCTAAAAAAAAAAACGAAGGGAGAAAAGCTATCATTCCCCTGCAGCTTCCATGTAGTGAACAGAGACTGGCATTCTTTATGTTTCCCCTTGTGACTCTCCCAAAGAGGAAGGTGGTCATATCATGATCTACCAAAATAATAAATGACCATTAACACAAGACTCAAGAAATGCAAGAATTGTAGCCGGGCACGCTGGCTCACGCCTGTAATCCCAGCACTTTGGGAGCCCGAGGCCGGCAGATCAACTGAGGTTAGGAGTTTGAGACCAGCCGGGCCAACATGGCGAAACCCCATCTCTACTAAAAATACAAAAATTAGCTGGGTGTGTTGGCAGGCACCTGTAGTCCCAGCTACTCAGGAGACTGAGGCAGGAGAGTCTCTGGAACCCAGGAGGCAGAGGCTGCAGTGAGCCATGATCATGCCACTGCACTCCAGCCTGGGAAAAGAGTAACACTATCTCCAAAAAAAAAAAGAAAGAAAAAAATGTAAGAATTTGTCAATAGTATCCCTCAAGATAATTAGTTTTCAGAATGTTGGTATACTTGGATTCTTACATGCCACTTTTACTTGCCCCTCTGAAATGTTTATAATTTATGTTAGGAGAGCATCTTTTTAAAAATAATTAATTAATTTGAAAAGTTTTTGTAGAGAATGATGGTTTCCAGCTTCTCAGCAAACTATCGCATGGACAGAAAACCAAACACCGCATGTTCTCACTCATAGGTGGGAATTGAACAATGAGAACACTTGGACAGAGGAAGGGGAATATCACACACCCGGGCCTGTCATGAGGGGGAGGGATAGCATTAGGAGAAATACCTAATGTAAATGACCAATTAATGGGTGCAGCACACCAACATGGCACATGTATACATATGTAACAAACCTGCACGTTGTGCACATGTACCCTAGAACTTAAAGTATAATTTTAAAAAAAGAAAAGTTTTTTTTAAATTTTTTTTAATTTTTTATTGTAGACAAGGTCTCACTGCATTGCCCAGACTGGTCCTCAACTGGGTTCAAGTGATCCTCTGACCTCGGCCTCCCAAAGTGCTCCAATTACAAGTGTGAGGCACCCAGATAAGAAAGAGTTTTTTATATAATCTGCTGTTCTATGTCCTTATTATACTCCAACAACAATAGCATTTTTGTTTGTTTCTATTTTTTTCTAGGCTGAGGTTTTATCAGATGTTACAAATGTGTTCTGTGGGGGAAAATAATATGTCTTTAATCATATAAAATGAGAAGTGCCATAAACTATAACTCTCTTTTGAACACAGTAGCATATGAAAGGTTTTGAAAAATCCAGAAGTAAAGAGGTAGATGTAGGTTGGGCACACTGGCTCACGCCTGTAATCCCAGCACTTTGGGAGGCCGAGACAGGAGGATCTCTTAAGGCTAGGAGTCCAGCAAAAATGGGACTGTGGCTCCCAGAATCCTGAGCCATCACTGGAATTCCTAGCTTCTTGCAAAACAGCAGTGGCAGTGTGGTGTTAGAAATCTCCACAGCACAGCACTCATGGGATCTGGGCAATGTTCCTTTCCCTTTTGCTCCTCCAGTCTTAGGAGTTGGCAGCTTCCAGTTATCTGGAATCTGGGTTGCATCCATTCACATTTTTGTCTCTTCAACCCCACTAACACTTTTGCAAACTACCTGCTTTGTTAATGGCTCAGTGTTAGAAATACCTAGAGTGGTTTCTGTTGTTCTGACAGATCAGTTAAATATGCAAACATGGCATTTTCCCCCCAAGAAAACATATTAACATCTTGTATGACTACAGTATTCTGCACACCATAGTTTAGGAAATATAAAAAACCTAGAGTTATTTATATTATTCTGACTAGACACTGAAATATACAAACATGGTATTTTCTCCCCAGAAAATATATTGACATCTTTTATGATGATGATATTCTGTATGACATAATTTATTTAGGAAATGCAAATAGCCCAAATCCCCTTCACTTTTGTTTTCTAGTTGTTTTTTTCTGCAAATAGGAACTTTGACTACTATACTACTATTATTACTCACATTATATTACTTTTTTTTTTTTTTTTTTTTTTTTTTTGAGACAGAGTCTCAGTCTGTTGCCCAGGCTAGAGTACCGCAATCATGGCTCACTGCAGCCTCAACCTCCTGGGCTCAAGTAATCCTCCTACATCAGCCTCCTGAGTAGCTGGGAGGATCGCTTGAGACCAGGAGTTCAGGACCAGCCTGGGCAATGCAGCAAGACTTTTTAAAAATTAATTAATTACTTTTTAAAAGATGCTTCCCTAATATAAAAACACAAACCTCCATTGTATTTTTAGTAGCGACAGGGTTTCGCCATGTTGCCCAGGCTGGTTTCAAATTTCTGAGTTCAAACAATCTGCCTGCCTTGGCCTCCAAAAATGCTGGGATTATAGGTGTGAGCCACCAGGCCCAGCATATTACATATTTTTAACCAAAGTTTCACTTAAATTCTATATTGTACATACATGTTCCACCCAAGAATTCTTATTGATACCTATAAAATCAAATATCAAGCTTATTTTATTCACCATCATTCTGTCTACTGATATATGGACATAACTCTCAACCAACCCATTTATTTATTCTTGAGATAACTTATATGCAGTAAGGTGCATAAATCTTACATATACAGCTTAATTAATTTTTACATAAGCATCAACTAAAGATACAGATATTTCCAGCATTCCACAAAGCTTCCTCATCCCATTCCATCAATGTCACTAAAAATGATGACAGTCTGAACTTTACCACAGATTAGTTCTGCATGCTTTTGAACTACATACAAATGAAATCATACAATATATTATTTTTCTGTCTGTCTTCTTTTAATATTTTGTATGAGATTCATCTATGTTGTTGAATGTGGTTTGTTCATTCTTATTTCTGTATCATTATTATAGCATTATCATTCATTCACAATTTATTTGTTCATTCCACTCATGATGAACATTTGAATTTTTATCAGGTTAGGGCCATTACTGTAATTGCTATGAACACATTCATCCATGTCTTTTGGTGGATATAAGCACTCACTTCTGCAGTGTTCATACTCAAGAGTGGAACTGCTGGTTCAATGAGTGTGCATACGTTTGACTTTGTAGATACTGCCAGAATTTTTTCCAAAGTGGTGTACAAATTTGCATGAGCAATGTATGAGAGTTCCATTTGCTCCGCATCCTCACCAAAACTTGCTGTTGACATTCTGATGGAGGTATAGTGTTATTTTATTATGGCTTATATTTGGGTTCTTGATACCTAAGCATGAAGCATGATGAACACCTTTTACACTTAGTGGCCATATGGATATTCTCTTTCTTTCAGGTACACATTTCCACTCATTTAAGAATATTGAGTTGTCTGTCTTTTTATCATTAATTTGTAGGAGTTTCTTACAGGAGGAGCCTTGGAAATTTTCACAGAAAATGTGTATTATGGAAAAAAAAACTATGCATGGACTTATTTGTTTTTGCACCAAAATAAACTCATACTAACTTAATATAACATATCTGAACAGGATCTAGTTTGAAGTCCTAAGAAGGATAAGACATCAATTTGAAAAGAGCCCTTATCAGAGCAACATGAATTCAGCTAAAATTGAAGCAATAACAAGACATCAAATTTATGGTGAAGCTTAAGTGGAAGAATGGTGAAATTATTGATGTTTTACAAAAAGTTTATGGGTACAATGCTTCAAAGACATTAGCAGTTTACAAACGGATAACTCATTTTAGGAGGAATGAGGTGATACTGAAGATGAAGCCTGCAACAACCCACCACTCACATCAATTTGCAAGGAAAAAATGTAATTTTCTTCATGCCCTAATTGAAGAGGACTGACAATTAACAGCAGAAACAATAGCCAACACTATAGACATCTCAATTGGTTCAGCTTACACAATTCTGACTAAAAAATTAAAGTTGAACAAACTTTCCACTGGATGGGTGCCAGAACCATTGTGCCCCCAAGAGCAGAACTTTCCATGGAAATTTTAAACAAGTAGGATCAAGATCCTAAAGTATTTCTTCAAAGAATTGTAATAGGAGATGAAACATGGTTTACTAGTACAATCCTGAAGACAAAGCACAATCAAAGCAATAGCTACCAAGAGGTGAAAGTGGTCCAGTCAAAGTAAAAGTGAACTGGTCAAGAGAAAGGGATGGCTGAGCACAGTGGCTCATACCTGTAATTCTAGCACTTTGGGAGACCAAGGCAGGAGGATCACTTCTCAGGAATTCCGGATAAGCCTGACAACATAGTAAGACCTTGTCTCTACAAAAAATTTAAAAATTAGCCAGGCAAGGTGGTGTGCACTTATAGTCCCAGCTACTTGGGTGGCTGAGGTGGGAGGATCGCTTGAGCCGAGGATTCCCCTTACATGGTCTATGTATGAGTTTTTTATTGGATACACGTATTAAAGATATTTTCTCTCAAGGCCAGGCACAGCGGTTCACACCTGTAATCCCAGCAGTTTGGGAAGCTGAGACAGACAGATCACTTGAGGCCAGCCTGGGGTGACAGAGCAAAGCCCTGTCTCAAAAAAAAAACAACAACAAAAAAAAAACAAGAGCAAAGATGATGGCAATATTTTTGGGAGATGCTCGAGGCACTTTGCTTATTGACTTTCTGAAGGACCAAAGAATGACAATATTGTCAGGCGTGGTGGCTCAACGCCTGTAATCCCAGCTACTTGAGAGGCTGAGGCATGATATTTGCTTCAACCTAAGAGGCAGAGGTTGCAGTGAGACGAGATCACACCACTGCACACCAGCCTGGGTGACAGAGTGA